TTCCTACACGAAGGTTTCTGAAAGCCTTGCAGGCCTTTATGATGGCTAGTAGCTTCAACTCGTTTATGTGGAGCAGTTTTTCTCTGTGAGACCATTTGGCGTGGACTGTGAGGGATTTGCAATGAGCCCCCCCCCCCAGCCAGTGCAACTGGCATCAGTAGTGACTTGTATTCGTGGGCGAGGTTGTTGGAATGGTTGCCCGATAGAGAGGTTGGTATGGGAATGCCACCACTGAAGTTGAAAGGCCAATTCTGGAGGGACTCTTAGGAGAGTGTGGGGAGAATCTGTTAGTGGTTTGAATAGGGCCAGAAACCAGGATTGGAGAGATCTCATTTTGAGACACACATATTGTACATATAGAGGCCATGGTGCCTAGAACTCGTTGTGCCGTTAAGGCAGGTATCAAGGCATGTGGAGTTAAGCCGCAAAGTAAGGTGAAGAGATTTTGTCTCTCTTCTGTAGGGAGGAAAATGCGAGCTGTCTGGAGTCTATGTAATGTATAGTCCTTGTAGGTTTTAACGTTGATTTTTGTTCGTTGATAGTTAGACCGAGCTTGCAAAGAAGGGCGAGGGTGAAATGGGTGTCTCGTCGAGCTTTGGGGCGGGAGTGTGCTACAAGGAGCCAGTCGTCGTTATATGGAAAGACGAAAATGTTTTGAAGTCTGAGGTAGGCGGCTACCAGCGCCATGCACTTGGTGAACACTCTCGGAGCCGTTGCAAGGCTGAAAGGGAGTCTTTTAAATTGGTATGCTTGTGATCCAAGTTGGAAATGAAGGAATTTTCTGTGTGTGGGAAGTACTGCAATATGAAAGTAAGCATCTCTTAGGTCTATGACAGTGAGTTTGTCTTTTTTTTTTTAGTAAGGGAAGAACTGATTCTAGAGTAACCATGCGGAATTTTGTGGTGATAATGTAGTTGTTTAATAATCTTAAATCTAGAATAGGGCGAAGACCTTGGGGATGATGAAATAGCGAGAGAAAAACCTGATGTTTTGATAGTATGGCATCTTTGAGAAGTAAATACATTATTTCTCCTTGCAAGGGTTGTGACGGAGAAGTAACAACGTGTGTTGTTGGAGGAAGTTAGAAGAAGTGGATCCGGTAGCCATTTTTGATGTTGGAGAGTACCCAGGAATCTGTGGTGATGGATTCCCATGCAGGTAAATGTTTCCAGAGGGCAGGGTTGGTGGGGTGGGTGGCGATCTCGGTCAGAGGAACGTCAAACATGGTGTTTGGGTTTCCGGTCATTCCGCCTAGTGGCAGGCTGTTGCCGGGACTTGGCTTTTTGAAGTATGGATTGTAAGAGGTTTTTCGTGGAGGCTCTCTGGTACGAGTTATAGAGTCGTTTCCATTGATTTTGCTGAGGATGTTGCTGGAAGGAAGGGCAAACTCCCCAACATCTGGCTGCTGAATGTTTCTTTTGTACATTCTCTAGTATATCATCAGTTTCAGCATGAAAAAGACCTACTCCATCGAAGGGGAGGTCTTCGAAACATGCCTGAGCATCTTCAGCTAAGCTGGCTGTTCTGAGCCAGGAAAAATGGCCTAGAGCTAGTGAAGTGGCCATGGACTCAGCTGTAGCATCTACGGTATGGCGGGTGGAAAGCATCTGTTGTTTAGCAATGGAGAGACCTTGTTGGAAGGTTTGAGCTAGTATCCCTTTATCCTCTGGCAGGGATTCAATACAGTTGGACATGTTGTCCCAGAGGAAACGTTGGAAAGCTTCCCATGGCTCCTTGATAATTAGCGACTCACATGGTAAAGGCTGCGGAAGAGTAAATATCTACCCATAGGGTCTATTTATCGGCTGTCTTTATTTGGTGGTATGAGAGATTGTCGGTGTTGCGATCTCGATTGAGAGGCTTCAACAAATATAGAATTTGGAGCTGGTTGTTTTTGGAGGAAAATGGCTCCTGGGGCATGGATTCTATAGAGGTTATCAATCCACTTAGACATGGTATGGGAGGAAACCGGTTTTGTCCAGGATCTCTGAACAGTACTAAGAAGAGATGGTAACATTGATATGTGCACCGGAGTGGTTGTATTTTTAGAGATCAGATCATATAAATGATCAGCTGGTTCTGTTGATGGTGGGTGGAGTTGCAGATCAAGGGATTTAGCAATGCGAATCATAAATTGGGCATAGGTCTGGAAATCCTCTGCTGGTGATGGTGGGTCAGTATCGACAATGTCCGACTCTGGAGTAAGTAACACCAATGGAGTCTGTAGCCAAGATGCATGGTCAGAGCCATTAAGGTTGCATCTGGAGTCGACAGACTGTCGATCAACTTCGGTGTTGAGAGGCTGAGTCTCGTAATATTGCCGGTTATGAGTCAGAAAAGATGGAGGCGGCATGTCCACGGACATCTGTCAATGTTGGGGACTGTCAACATCAAAAAATGGTGGTTGAGTGTCGACGGACCTTGATTGGTAGCAATGGACCTCAGTGTCGAGCTTGGTGTCATAACAGTGCCGATGACTTGGATTTACCGGAGGACGGGAAACGTGCTGATGTAATGGAATGGAACAAGTGTCCATGGACCAGGATGAATATCGAGGATCATCGATATCAGAGCCTGTGTCTCCGTGATGTCGAAACGGAGGTTGCTGATGCGATGGCATAGCAGTAGAAGAAATTGATGCTGGCTATGCCAAGCATGAAGAGCATTGTAGGAAAGTATCGGGAGGCTGGGACTGCAAAAGCCTCATGTGTGGATGTGCGTGCTGAGCATGGGTTTGAACCACACGTGATGAAGTGAGCTGTCAAGACTGTTGATGTTGACGGTCCTGGTTAGGGATTGGTGGGCGATCCAAGGGCACTGAATATGGAACGGTGTCGAGCTGTTTGGGGTGGGAATCCTCGAGCGATGGAATAACTGAACGATTGCTGGAAGGAATGGAAGGTTGTGGACTGGGAGGAGAGGACATTAGTTGGTCAACTCTATCATCCCATTCTGGAGACTGAGAACAGGGTTGATGAGATGGAAGTCTGTCATCATCTGAGGGAGATCCGACTGAAACTTATTCAGAGAGTTGTGGTTGTGGTGGGATGTCTGTAGGCTTAGACTGTTTAGCTCGTTTAGGAGGAACAGGCTATGGAGCTGGAGCAGCTTCAGTAGGTCTCTGATGTTTAGAGGTTGTTTTTGAAGTCGAGGACTTCGGTATAGAGAGTTTCGATTTGTATGTCCTCAAGGTCTTAGATGATGCAGATGGAGAATCAGAATGAGCTGGTGTAGCCGATGGACGTTGTTTCAATGATTCAGTAATGGCTTTTTCCATTGCTTATTATCACAGACAACGCGGTGCC